GCATTTCTGTCAGCACCGGCATTCAGCAGCATGCGCACGATATCAGGATATCCCTGCTCAGATGCCTCAACAAGTGCAATAGCACCCTCCCAGCGTCGTCTTCGGAAACCCATCTCAGCCCCAGCGTCGACCAGCAAACGAACAATGTTAGCTTGGCCTTCGTACGTGGCGACAACGATGGCGGTGTCTCCATTCATATCCTGCAAGTTCATGTCGGTGGCAGCTGCCAACAGCAAACTTACGACGTCCGCATGGCCTCGACCAGAGGCATGCACAAGGGCTGACTGGTCGTTGGTGTCACTCACGTCCTTGTCTGCCCCTGCTTCCAAGAGCAACGTCACAATCTCAGCATGGCCCTTTTCAGCCGCAATAATCAGGGCCGTCTTGCCAAAGGCGTCTTCTGCATCTTTGTCGACAGATGCACTCAGCAGAGCCCGGACCACGTCAACACGGCCTTCCGGCACTGCGATGTCGAGTAGCTCATGCACTGCATCCGCTCCCTGCGTGTTGCTGCAGACATGCAACGGCTCCAGGTAAATGTCTGCCTGCTTCTGGATATCGCAGCATTCTTGTCGACATGGCCCAGGCGCCATAGGATCCAGACATGCTGATTCTTTGGAAGCCGACTCAGCATCAACGTCATCCTGCAGCAGGCGTACGATCTCGATGTAGCCCCGCTCAGAGGCAATCGTCAGAGCGGTCTCACCACGTCCGAATCTGTCCCTCACATTCTTGTCAGCACGGGCTTCTAAAAGTAATTGCACAATCTCAACATGGTCCTTGTACGAAGCGACATGGAGAGCAGTTAAGCCAGAGAAACTCACCGCGTTTCTGTCAGCACCGGCATTCAGCAGCAAGCGCACGATATCAGGATATCCCTGCTCAGATGCCTCAACAAGTGCAACAGCACCATCCCAGAATCGTCTTCGGAAATCCATCTCAGCCCCAGCGTCGACCAGCAACCGAACAATGTTAGCTTGGCCTTCGTACGTGGCGACAACGATGGCGGTGTCTCCATTCATATCCTGCAAGTTCATGTCAGCAGCAGCTGCCAACAACAAACTTACGACGTCCGCATGGCCTCGACCACAGGCATGCACAAGGGCTGACTGGTGATTGGTGTCAGTCACGTCCTTGTCTGCCCCTGCTTCCAAGAGCAACGTCACAATCTCAGCATGGCCCTTCTCAGCCGCAATAGTCAGGGCCGTCTTGCCAAAGGCGTCTTCTGCATCTTTGTCTACAGATGCACTCAACAGCGCCCGGACCACGTCAACATGGCCTTCCGGCACAGCGAAGTCGAGTAGCTCATGCACCGCATCTGCTCCCTGCGTATCGCTGCAGATGGGCAGCAGCACGAGCTGCACATCACCGGGCGCCACGAACCTCACATCATTATCCAGCTGCTCGTCTTGCTTCAGCAGCCTTAGGTGCCAAGGATTCTAGTGATTACGACAAACCGAAAGTGAAAGGTCAGCACGGCAACCACTGCTGGCCATGTAGAATTGGGTGGTCTGCTGAAGGAGCTTGCATCAAGAACGCATTGTACTGTCGAATCATAGGGGCATTGTTAAGTCGGAATAGCGTTTGGGGAAACCATCATTAAGTCAAGCATATGACGGAGTTTAACATTGGCAAGGATGCAGCGCCTACAGTATATTTTCGACAAGGATCTGTTGTAGAGATACCGGAAAACCATGCAGCCGGCGAAAGAGGCGCTTCAAAGAGGAGGCCTGGGTTGTGTGGATTTAGGGTTTAAGGCTTTGGGGTTTAGGTTTTCGGTTTAGGGGTTTAGGGTTTAGGGGTTCAGGGTTTAGGGAAGGTTTAAAGTTCTTAGTGGCACCTGTTTTGGACAAGGGCTGAATAGGTTCCGGATTGAGAGAAAGCTTATGAACCAATGCGGCCTTGACATGCAACAAACACTTACAGTGGTGTCCTTCAGCTGTGTTTGCACGTAAGAAAACGGAAGAATCCTGGTGTAGGCACTGTAGGCTCTCAACAAACAACACTCCTCCAACGGCGTCCGCCATGACGGCACCCGGTACAGCCATTCCTCTTCCTCTCTTACTAGGGAGTGCATAGCAGAAACATAGATGCAGACCGAAAAGGGAGCCCGTGCCAGGCACCCTCCACTCTGCCAGACCGGGTGCTGTGGTTTCTGTGCCTTAGGGTTTCTGGTTTAGGGTTGCAGCCGCCGTGTCGGCCTGTGAGTTTCACCAGCTCAAACCCTCATCCCAAGTCCCCGGGTCCATGCCCTAAGTGCCTTTAGATCCATATAACAAATTTAGTATTGTGAATCATCCCTGTGGAGCGTTATTTAACAAACAGCCAAACGCAATTAAGAACACTAGAGTTACAGTTTTCCAGGCCGCGCCACATCCTCCGATTCCTCCACGGGCAGGCAAGCCAATTCTTTCCCTGAAGCGGCCCACACACGCAGCATGGCGCGGCAGGGGGTTCAAGGTTTAGGGTTTAGGCTTCAACTTCGGGCTTGCAGCTTGACACTTTGGGATCTTCGAAGTGGATCGCGAACTGTCTGCTAGTTCGGCTGTTCGTGCTTTGCTCACCCAAAACCCTAAACCCTAAACCCTAAGCCCTAGACCCTAAGGAATCTTAGTTTTGGAATGATCAGACATGTACGGCTTAGGGCTTAGGCCTTCGGCTAAGTATATGTCAACCTCCATACAACCATACACATAGCTACCTACAAATGGCCAGAGAAAGGGTTTAGGGTTTAGGGGCCTTACTAGTTAGAATATGGTTTTGG